TCTGTCTGTCTGTCTGTCTGTCTGTCTGTCTGTCTGTCTGTCTGTCTGTCTGTCTTTTTCCCAGCACTAAATGACCATTATTGTGTCGATGCGCCTTTCTTTACGCATACTCAAACAAAAGAGAGGTACACACGAGTATTAATTTGAAACATAATAATGTGTACAAGCACCCTTGTGGAACCCACCAGCCGTGTCCCGAATGTCTAGCTCCACCTCGTGGTCGCCGTGCCGGACTACCTTGTTCACCTGGGACAGGTGTCCATTGACCCCTCTCTGCGCGTGAGTGCCCGGAGTTCCTCCTCCCTTGACCAGGGCGTCAAGGAAACTGGACTTGCCCACCGCGGGGTCACCCAGTGTTATCAGACGGACCTGCAACATGCCATGGCCATATTATTATTATTATTTTTATTATCATTTTAATTGTTATTATTATTTTTATTATTATTACTTATTACAGTGTATTATTATTATAATCATTATCATCATTAAATTGTTATTATATCGTTCTCATTCTCATTCTCATTTAGACCATCATCATTATTATTATAGTACTGTTAATGATTTGTTCCTTTTTTTCTTTCAAACATTTATCAACATTATACACTGTATCTCCTTTTTATTGTTTGTTACACCCTGTTATAAAATATCGCCTCTAATCTTCAGCTCTTATGTGACTCAATTGTGTTGCAAGTGTCTTAAAACTCTTACTATAGCCAGGCTGAACGTATTACTCTCAGACAATAAAAAAATTGGCCTTGTGACTAGTCCGACTATCTTATAAATAAATCGCAATTGAAAATCCAATCCCAAGTACATGCACTTTTACTTCTACGAGTATTTGCTGTTCGGACCTCTAGTGTAAAGATGTCATCTAATCGCATTTTCTATTGAAAATATTTTGACCTCTTCCGTCTTTGGCCTTCAATTAGCATTGGGTCAGATATGTCCTAGAATCTCAAGGTCACACCTCTGATTGTTAAGTCATCCTGACGTCAATGTTATTATTTAGTTATTAATAGTATAACTTATACCCCACCGAACCGGGTGGTTGGAGGGCGCAACTGCTTACTGGTAGGTCCTACCTCTATTCTGTACCTCTGTTGTTTGTGTCTATGTGCCTTACTTTTCCCCTGCATTAAATGATCGATTGTGTCGACGTGCTTCTGTATACTCAATAAACAAACAAACAAACAAACAAACGACACAAATCCCGGCGCATCTCTGACAATGTTTATTAAGTGTGTCACAAAACAGTGTCCAAAAAAAAAAAATGCCCTTTGCTCTATGCGTATAAAAAGGCAAAACACTCTCGTCGCATATTCTCTGAATACAGAATATATTAATTATTATTAATGCATAGAGTTGAGAAATATATGTGCTTGGTACCGGGGTATGTGAAAATATACTACTACAACAAATCAACAAATTATAAAACAACAAGAAGACAACAACAACAACAGCAATAACAGCAATAACTACTACTACTACCACTACTACTACTACCACTACTACTACTATTACCACTACTACTACCAATACTACTACTACCACTATTACTACTACTACTACTACTACTACTACTACTACTACTACTACTACCACTACTACTACTACTACTACTACTACTACTACTACTACTACTACTACTACTACTATTACTACTACTACTACTACTACTCCTCTACTACTACTACTCTACTACTACTACTCTACTACTACTACTACTACTACTACTACTACTACTACTACTACTACTACTACTACTACTACTACTACTACTACTACTACTACTACTACTACTACTACTACTACTACTACTACTACTCTACTACTACTACTACTACTACTGCGACTCGTCGTACGGTGATCTCGACGACGATGATGATGATGATAGGGGAGGATGAGATGGAGAAAGAGGGTGAGAAGGAGATGGAAGAAGAAAGAAGAAGAAGTAGAAGAAGAAGAAGAAAATATAAGTAGCGTATAGGTCAAGAAAGGCATCCTGACATGCAGTCTGGAGTAACTATCTCTACTATCTCAGCTATCAGAAACTGTCACTTGGGAATTTTGTGACGTGAACAAATATGTCTCAGTACAGCATGTATTGTTGGACACTTGAGTGGTACTGAGATCAATAGGCCACCTCCTATCGCAATATGACCTTGTGTGTGATATTTTCTCTGTCCTTTATTAATACTTCAGCGATACATGTCCAACTGCTGCTTGTCCTGTAAGAGCCCTTATTTCCGAGGCTTTAAAGTGTTAAAGTCCCTTTACTGACCTTTGAGTAGACAAGTATTATTTTTAGCTCTTCTGTTATCAGTGTTAGCGATTTGGTTGAGTCATTGCTGGGAATAAAGAATCAGCGGACGTCTAGATTTGGGAGAGTGGATGTATGGTGGATGCTCATTAGTACTCTACTGTTCGGCATCTATATTAAATGTACGATGTTGTATGTTCCATAAAAGCCTTGCAAAACAAACACACTTTGAATTTCTTGTGCTGCTTATCACTGAGAAGTGGGGGGG